GCTGTACACAAGCTTTCGGACGTCACCCGTCCTTCATCAGGTGTTGACATGAGTAAGAAGGAGATGCTATATTTATAAGCGACAGTTTAAAAGTATTAAAAATATTAAAAACAATCTGATGCACGCCCGCGAGAGCACATGCTAATAACAAAATATTTTCAATTTTACTCTGTATAAATATCATTTTGAGTTTGTACAAAGAATATCAGCCCGTTGAAAATCTGTATACCTAAGACGAAGTGAGAAAGGCGGACAACGAGAGGCGAAGACAAAAGCAAGAAAAAAACAACAATAAAAATAAAAAATAAAAATAAAAAATCAGCGGAATAAAGATAAAGTTAAAAGTTACGAAGAAGGTGTATCTGAGGTAGAATAAAAAACAGAATATTGGGGCGGGAGGTCAATCTTTCTGTTGAGGCTGGGGGTAGTATTAGATACTAGGGCCTCAAGAACTAAGCGTTGGTATTTGTTTGCTATATCGCTATAAATGGGGGTTGTGTTGTCAAGATTGAAGGAATGTCCGGACTCGGCGATATGTTGGTATATGAGCGATTTTTTGTCTTTCGAGCGGATGTTACGGGCGTGTTCACTGGCTCTGATGGCGATTGTTCGGCCTGTTTCTCCAATATAGTGTAAATCGCAATCGTTAGAGGCGTACGGTCTACTCGCATCTCCTGTCCGCGGGCTATCCACGCAGTTTTATCGACCGGCATTTTTTCACACCCAACCAAAAAAGAACCACACCTCCTGTATTTAAAAGCACCTGCGTCCTCCCATACTCCACCACGAATTCCGGTATTGGTTCCTTTTTACGTAAATACGGCATTCGCACTTTTTACAAGTGCACACCTTCCCTTCACACCTTCTTAAGACATCCTATCACAAAAAGCTCCGCCAAACGTAACCCCCAATCCCTTTCCAACGCCGTTTACAAAATTCCCTGTAACGATTGCGATTTACACTATATTGGAGAAACAGGCCGAACAATCGCCATCAGAGCCAGTGAACACGCCCGTAACATCCGCTCGAAAGACAAAAAATCGCTCATATACCAACATATCGCCGAGTCCGGACATTCCTTCAATCTTGACAACACAACCCCCATTTATAGCGATATAGCAAACAAATACCAACGCTTAGTTCTTGAGGCCCTTGTATCTAATACTACCCCCAGCCTCAACAGAAAGATTGACCTCCCGCCCCAATATTCTGTTTTTTATTCTACCTCAGATACACCTTCTTCGTAACTTTTAACTTTATCTTTATTCCGCTGATTTTTTATTTTTATTTTTTATTTTTATTGTTGTTTTTTTTCTTGCTTTTGTCTTCGCCTCTCGTTGTCCGCCTTTCTCATTTCGTCTTAGGTATACAGATTTTCAACGGGCTGATATTCTTTGTACAAACTCAAAATGATATTTATACAGAGTAAAATTGAAAATATTTTGTTATTAGCATGTGCTCTCGCGGGCGTGCATCAGATTGTTTTTAATATTTTTAATACTTTTAAACTGTCGCTTATAAATATAGCATCTCCTTCTTACTCATGTCAACACCTGATGAAGGACGGGTGACGTCCGAAAGCTTGTGTACAGCTCAATAAAGAAACTCACCACTTTCCTCTTGATCTCCCTTTTACACTTCAAACGTGGCTATATCTCTTCTACCATATATAATTTTTCTCTTAGTTGGATCTGATTTTTTGTATCCAATATTTATTTTTAGTATATTTGTTTCAATAAAATCCGTGATCTTTGGTGTTCTAGCAACAATATGAGTACAGTTTGACTATGTTGAATTATAAACCTGTGTACTGTGCTTCAAAATTTTATACTGCAGAGAGTTTAATTTATCTTTGACTTTTTTGGGTATAAGGTTGTACCAGATCGTGGAACCATAAGTTAGTGTACTTCGAAACAATGTCTTATAAAGTTCTATTCTTCTTTTTCTTTCCAGTCCCCATGCTTTCCCCGTTAATCCAATTAGGCATCCACTAGCTTTATTTGTCTTAGCAATAATCTCATCAATATGGGGCACAAAATCCAATTTGTTTTATTTCTATGATTTTTAAAGGTTATATCCACAATCTTCAGTTTTTCCGCCCGATTGGCAGTGAAAGTGTTCGGAATTTTTGCAGCTATTTTGCTATTGAACAAGTATAAGATTTTCGTTTTCTCTTCAGATACGGTCAACTTATTGTTCCCACACCAGTCTAAAATTCTCCCCATGACCTTTCCCGTTGTATTCCAAAGTTCTGTCAAGTTGTTTTTTCAGCAAATCACAGTTATATCATCCGCATAAGCAATGATTTCACTGTCTGATTCTGAATAGTTATCCAATAAATCGTTTAGAATAATATTCCATATTGTAGGGGATATAGGCCCACCCTGTGGGCTTCCCTTGCTTATATTTTTATGGGTTTCATTTGATGAATATCTAAATCTCGCTCTTCTATTATTAAAGTAAGACTGTAGTAGTTTTATTATTGAAGCTTGAACGTTGTCCTCATCTAGTCTTTTTAGCACCATCGGCTACCATGCATATTATGATAATAATATTCGTGACATCATATATTTATATAATATATAAGATATATTTTTCGAGCAAACATATCCACTCTCTCTACTGAATAGATTTTTAAAAATATATATGGTAATTTAAACCAACAACCCCATATTGTATATAACTTATAACAAGATTTTCATGTTTTATAATAGAAACACATTTGTAAATGATTATACGCATTATTGACATGTGTCATTACATCATCATATGTAATGTACTTTATACAAACTGAGGATAAATGAATAAAACTCTGTAATAGATTAAGAGTTGAGCTAACCCAAAAGGTCAAAACGTCTAAAATCGAGATAGATTTAGAAGTTCAACAACATCTAAAGATAGATTGGAAACTGTCAGGACGGCGCCAGTTTAGAATTTCACCAGACGATCCACCCTCTTCACATCTGGTGAAATGCAATACTCCTTTTCTCAGAAAAGGTATATAAAAGGCCCCCGTCTTTAGCCAAAAATACAGTCACTTGACAGTTACTTCACCATCTGCGTGAGCCCTCGTCGTCTTCTATCTCCATCTTTCGCTCCTAGCTCAACTTTTATCTGTTCACGGAACTTTCTTAGTGCAACTGTGTCTTCGTTTTTTGTGTATGGACATTCCCAAGCTTTCCACTCTGCCTCGACCACGACTGCCTATACTTTGTGAGAACTGTTGAAGGTATTCCAAGGTGCAGAGAGGTACTGGAAAACTCCACATCCTGACTGTTCCTCTCGGTTAACACAGTGTAGCGAGAGTCAACAGGGACTCACACCATAGTTTAAGTCGACTGGATACCTCATCACAAATCTAAGTCGACAGGATTCTCTACAAGAGGCTACCAGAATCACCATATATATATATATATATATATATATATATATATATCTAGAGATATACTACATGATCTTAGCCAAAAGGCCGAGAAACGATATTTTATATATACAGATGACCTGAGTTCGTGTGTCTTCTGCTCGAGTGAATGTTTCGCTGGTAGAATTTTGTTCCTGCCTACTAAAAATTATTATCTGATTCGCCCGTGGTCTGCTTTAGTGAATATTCCCCTAAATAATTTTGTTTATGTCAATCAAGCATGATACAGCAATATTGTCATCATCATTTCTGACTAAGCAATTTCTTTGCAGGAACATACTCAGATATCCCATATTACCCTCATCAACCCTCTGTGTCAACTCATAATCTTAGTTCAACTTAATAGCTTTATGCTTTTCTTTTAGTTATTTTTTCATTCAATAGGTTCTAATTTTTTTTTCTATAAGTTTACGGCATTTCTAATTTTATTCTGCATATTTTCTCAATTTTATCATTTATTCTTATGTATTTTTCTTCCATCATATTCTATATCTTATTGAGACGTCATCATTATTGTCCTATTTAATTATCCTATACTTATAATAATTTTAACTAATTTGTGCTCAAATTATTTCCTTTGATTTTATAATAGGTTTGTTAGGTCATCATTCATGTTATTTCATTTCCCCCAAACAAACCTTCATCACCGGGGGTACATTCTATCGTATATTTTAAACTGTATGACACTTTTAGTATATGTCACATATCTTCCAATTAGTTAGAGCCGATACCTTAAAAGATCCTGCCCTTCTTTTGGAATGTACACCGTTTCTGTTTGCTGCCACCCCCATATTTTGTATATATGCTATATCTTTATTGATAATACCTGTAAACCCCTATTTGTATGTAACACTAAAAATGTTGACGTCAAAATAAAAATCCAAAGAGCGGCAGCTGGGGACAGCTGAGGAGAGAGGAGGAAAATGCCAAAGCCCATGCGGGGCCCCCAGGGACTCTTTATAGACGACCCCTGAAAACAGGACAGGTTTTGGGTGTAGGGTGTGGCCATCGGCAGACGGCTTCTGTCTCTCACACACTCTCTCTCTCCATGTCTCGGTGATAAGCATCCAAGTTTGTGACATGGCCCCTACCTCTGTCCCGTGGGCTGTCCCCGATCACTCTCTGTGCTAACATCTAGCCCTGCCTCTGCTTCTTGTTGTCCGCGTGTGGGAAGAACATCAACACTCGCCTCACGTACACGACTGCCAGCTTATCCATACGTCGGTAGGATCACATTTGCAACAATATTACATATATTAAAATTAAAATGCCAAGTTTTTTTACAACGTCATTGGAATATTATATTAATAAATCCTCAAATTAAATATTAAATTTATTATACTTGGAACACATTTAAGCATTTTTACAATTTATAAATGTAATTTCACCAGATGCCGCGAGAGGCGCTGCTTGCGAGTGAAAGTAGAAAATCTGCAAATAAAATTGCAACGAATATTTTTTTCAAATCAAATATAAACCAGAAAACTTCCCAGCAGTATCTACTCATATAATTGCCTTATTCTGTCTGTGTGAAGTTCACGGATAGATTTTGGTCAGAATGGATAAAATAAAAAAAAAGTGTCAAGGGATGGGAATCGAACCCACGACCTTCCGCTTACCGGGCAGATGCCATGACTACTAGGCTACCCTGGACATATTTTTCCGTTCACATTTTTATTTTTATATTTTCAAGACACACACAGTTTGGGGCGGGACGTTTCTCAAGAGAGACATCCACGGCGCCAATTTATAATTGTAACGAATAGTATTTTAATTAAAACATTTTAAAAACACACAGTTTGGAACGGGACGTTTCACAAGAGTGACATTCATGGCGCCAATTTATAATTGTAACGAATAGTATTTGAATTAAAACGTTTTTAAAATATAAACGCACTCGGGTAAAACCCGGGCGTTGCCCGGGCCATTCGTCTAGTAGTAAATAACTTCCTAAAGTTTCACGGCGATTGGATAATCTTAACTTTTAAAGACCTTCATCGTGCAAACAAATAACAAACTACGTGTAAAATTATTAACCAATCAAAGTCATTTATCGTCGCGACCAATGCGGTGCAAAGCAGTAAAAGGCTGGAACTAACGCTTTTTTGGTTTTACATTTTTTTAAAAAGCACATTAAACTTTTTAGTTTTTTTAATAGCATATCATTCAGCTACCTACATGCGAAATTTCATAATGATTGATTTTATAGATTTTGCGCAACGCGATAACAAATATCGATTTTGGAAATTTATTTCTGCGTGACATTGAAAATGGAACACCAAGAAATAGTGGCCAGAAATTCATGCAAATTTCAGGGTAGACGCGCCTAACCGAGTTATGCAAATGATGTAAAATGCGCAGCTCTCGTGCGCACATGGAGTAAGATATAAGGGAAGGAACTTGCAGAAAGGACAGTATTCGTGTCGTTATTTCTTCAAGGAAAATCATTGTAGAAATTTTGTTCTTGTCTCAAAAGACACGTGTAATAACAGAGAATGCCAGGTCATCGTAAACGGAGGCAGTTCAAGCAGACAGACGCTTTTACGAGGGGCATGGTGATCGGACTGAAAAGGGCAGGTTGGTCCATAGGTCAAATCGCAGCTGATACACACCTTGGTGCGTCCACGGTGCACCGACTGTGGAGAAGATGGTTGGAACAAGGAAATGTGGCAATTTATAGGAATGTCGGTGCAACCAGAGTGACGTCAGCACGTGTGGATCGGCGTATCCTTCGACAAGCAGTGGCGGCCCCACAAGCCACTTATACCGCCATCCTGCAACATGTGCAAGACACCCTAGATCATTCCATCTCGACCAGAACCATTTCCCGTCGATTGGTTGCTAATGGCTTGCACTCATGCCATCCGCTAAGAAGACTGCCATTGACCCCACCGAATAGGCGCCAACGTTTGGAATGGTGCCGGGCTAGATTGACGTGGATGACGGAATGGCACAGGGTCGTGTTCTCAGATGAGTCGCGTTTCTGCTTGTCCAGTGATAGTCGCCGTGTACGCGTGTGGCGTCGACGTGGAGAAAGGTCCAATCCGGCAGCAATTGTGGAACGCCCCACCGTGCGACAACGTGGAATCATGGTTTGAGGCGCAATCGCGTATGATTCCAGGTCACCTTTACTTCGTATTCAGGGCACTATGACGGCCCAACGATACGTTGATGATGTGCTGCGACCGGTGACACTCCCCTACCTTCAGGGGGTACCCAATGCCCTTTATCATCAGGATAACGCCCGACCGTACACTGCTCGCATTAGCCAACAAGCTCTGCAAGATGTACAGATGCTTCCCTGGCCACCGTACTCTCCTGATCTCTCACCAATCGAGCACGTCTGGGACATCATTGGACGCCGTTTGCATGCCTTGCCACAGCCGCGTTCAGAAGACGAACTGTGGCAAATGGTTGAGAGGGAATGGAGAGCCATCCCTCAGGACGCCATCCGTACTCTGATTGACTCTCTACCTAGACGTGTTGCTGCGTGCATCGCCGTCCGCGGTGGTCCTACTTGCTACTAAGCCGACGCCGTTCTCGCTCTGTATTATGACTATCATTTTGAAATAAAGATCACTTATTGTTCGTCCCTGTCTCTCTCTGTCTGCCGAGTTTCATCACTTTCTGGCCACTATTTCTTGGTGTTCCATTTTCAATGTCACGCAGTGTATTTTTAAACCTCAAGATGCGGTGTAAGGGATAAAATTGAAATCTTTGATATCAGCCCTTTCCTTCAGGTCACTTAAAATCTCTAAAAATGGATTCCCGACCAAAGCTCTGAATTGACACCGCTTCCCAGAGACTCATTCTATCTATATCAACAAAAATTATTTTCATCAAAACTATTTTAGAAAACTATTTGTGTTGATAAATCGGTGTGTAACACATAAAATATAATCATAATTTTTATTTACAATATTTTCGGTGCTATCGACATGAGCTTGAGTCTTTCACAAACATATATTTATTTTTAGAGTTCAATTTCATGATAGACTTGGATAGACTTTTTAAAATCAGTTTGTACTGTGAGGGCATATACATATATTATAGAGTTTAATATAACAGAGAAAATAACTCTTTTAGGAGACTTATCGTTGTCTCAATCCGATAGTCAACAAATATATAACTGGATGAATACAATGTTTGATAAAGGTCTTCTTTTTGGTTTATATAAATTCTACAAGACCGCAGTCACCGTTCGGAGGAGATTAATAGAATCACCGAATGTCGTGGTCCATTTGGAAGTAGAAAGCGAAGACTAAAACGCGGCTGATTCCACACTAGCCTTTTCAGTGATACGCAACCCTATGCACGGTGGGTTCTGTGGCCACTGGATATGCCTTAAACCTGAAGGCTGTTGGGGTCTGCGCTACCTGGAGTATAAGAGCTCCTCTATGCTTCCTTCCTGTGGTGAATCTGTATAAGACCGGTGGTCTTAATAAAGCTGTGTGTTTTTTATAGAGCTTAATATAAATTAAAACCATATAAAATAAATACCGCATTGCCCATAAAAAGTAAACTTCCATTAAATAAATCGGCGAATGTTGATCTGTACGGAAGATGACAGAAATACGTTCATTGTAACCTGCAGCATCTCTAGCATCCATTAGAAGGTATTGAAGTAGCGTGTTAGTTTACATACACTCTCTCTACACGATCAATCTTGCGGTCCTAGAAACATTGCTACCAGTAAAATATCAGAGTTCGATTGTCAATGCAACAGTTTCGTTTCCAGGAATAAACCTAGGTACTAATACCTTAATAATCCGTATAGCCTCAGGTATTACTAAGAATTTCCATATAAATATCGAAGCTGTCCATTCTCAACAGAGAAAGCTATCAAAATTTTAAAAGTTTAAAGCTTATATGGTCACGATTCTATTTTATTTAAAATATAATTTATATTAGAAATAGGATGTAAAAAAGAGATATATTTTAGTTGGAAATCATCTAGTTTAGTAGACAATAAAATGGTTGAGACAGACAATAGTAATGTGGGTGAATGTACTCAGATAGTAGTTCAATAATGAAAGAAATTGTAAAAATAAGTGCAAATGATATTAAAGGAGACAATTACATTAATTTTTCTATTTAATCGAACTTATTAGCGACCCATTTTCGCTATTTTCATAAGTATATAAATGGATGAAAGTATTTTGTTTATATGGTTATATACTGTTTTATTTTATCGTTGTGGGTGTTGTTGTTGTGTCGTGTCCAATGAAGAGCCTCATATGTCTCAATACATCTCTATCATAGCAGTCGCACACACAATGTCCTCTATCTTTGCTCTTCATTGGAAAATAGGTGCCGTTGCCACGTTAGTCACCTTGAACCAGAATTTTATCGAAAATTCCAAGGGTCCAGGGGGGACTGATGTGATCGTCGGACTTCTCTCCCCCCTCCCTTATTTTATAGTAATGTAGCAGTTTTTTTTTTTTTTTTCATGATTATGGGCCACAGTGGATTATTGAAAATTTGAGAGTTGATGTGTTCTCAATTCGAATAAAGCAATAATTTCAACCAACAAACATCATGTCTTCTATTAAAAAGATAGTTTTGAAGTGAAAATAGATATTTAAAGAAAAATATATTTCTTCCGTCAAAATAAACGCAAATACTATGCAACTAATTACAGTTTGTATTGTTTTAATTCCACGAGGAGAGAGGATCTTTCTTTTTATAGATCACTCGCGGCCAAATATCCAACAAGTAAGTTAAGAGTAATCTGTTGTAACGATATGAGGAATTGTGAGTTCTATATTATATCGACTGTTTCAGGAAAATATACGTATATACAAGCCTGATTTTAAACTAGATAAAATAGAAAGGAGAGATTATGAATGTTCCATCAAAGCAGTTTTTGGTAGAACTTGAGCCGTTGTGAAAAGCTCCCGGGTGGGCGTTCTGACCTGAGATGAGATCATGCAGGTCATGTCACCGTGCCAACATCGTGGTGTCAACTGACTGTCATCTTTGTGGCCGCCAAGTGTGTCACCTTAGGTTAAGTCAACAACTGCGTCTTTCACCGTACAGCACCCAGCTAACCTCGAACTTTGTTACTGGAGCTAAATACAGCCTCGGATAGGGGCTTATATTGTATGTTGATTTTGCTTGCTTATGTTGTAAGTGTGGCTCAAGTCCTGTAGAAGCAATTTAACTTATAAAACTTCAAAACTTTTATCATTCATACTCAGTACGGAGGTGACATATGCAGGAATAATTTTGAGTCAGAACTAACTCACTATATATTTACCTGCAATCATCTGTATGAAGAAAGGAAATTACTTTTTAATAATACGAGCGCTAACCATTTATTACTCTATGCCCTGCTGTCATAAACGGTGAAAAGTAGACATAGTGCAATAGATTTATACAAATTTTGTGAGAAAGCGAGAAGTATGAGAAACAAGTGTGAATAGTTTTTCTTTTCTTTTTTTTTGGGGGGGGGGGTCTCATGTTAATACTGAATTGTATACAGTACTTGATTTATGTTCAATTAAAACCATTGATATACTGGGAGAATCATGTAAGGGGCTTGATCCCTAATAAAAGTGTTGTGTGTCTGTATGTGGTGGAAAGGAGTTTTTAGCTGTTCTACTGTAAGTGTACCTCAGGTATATACTTGTAAAAGCAATTTACTTTAGTATT